GGCGTAAAACCAAAACTCAGTCAGTCTACCACAATGTATAGTGTAATAAAGCACACTTTCGCCCTGAACTATTATAGTTAAAGTATGATGACGCTTGCGTAAACATTGCGAACGTTACCGTGTCGCTGAAAACGTGTGAGTCGAATTGACACATTTTAACCGTCGTAAAACATAAATGTAATGTTTCCTCTAGTGATGTTAGCTGCGTGAAGCAACAAATAAATATAACTCTCACGACCATACGCCTTGGTCATTTTTTGACTGGACCAGCACAGGCTGCAACATATTTGGTAGGTATTTTATCCTTTTAATGTGTTTATATTTCATGTATATATCATTGCCACAGATATGTGTTCCCTATGTATTGTAATAGTTTGCTGCTGCAATTAATCCATATAATACCTTTTGTGAACTGCATGTGTTTATTACTTATGTTTATTACTTTCTTGGAATGGATGCAGTTCAAGTAATTTGCATTACAATGAATATATTGTGATAGGTTTATATGACCATTATCAGTAATTGTAACTTTTATGTGTAATCTACTATATTAGTACATATGTGATATGACTGTTTTATTGATTATTGTTATTATGTTACAGGGTGAAAACAAAACCAACTATATATATATTTGAGAAATAAAGTAGTGGCACAAGTCACAACTCACACCCCAGCAGGCGTTGGTCTTCATTGAACAGAATCACCCCTTACCCTGCTACACTTATATGTATTTTTCATGTAACAATGAAGTTCATATCCTCGGAACAGAGTTGACCCTGGGCACAGTTTTTAGGGAATAAACATTGTATATGTGATACAGCGATTACTATGCTCCCTTGCTGTAACCCATGTTTGGTGGTATAAACCTACACCTGTTTATTTGTCATCATTCACTTGATGTTTGTCATCATTTACTTCATGAATTAATTAATTAATTTATAACCGGTATAATTAGTGGTAACACTACTCAGATTACCCAACAAAGGTTCCCATTTAGCATTTCTCGTGTCTGGAGTAAATACTAAACATTATTAATTAAGATATGGCAAAAAGTATTACATGTTATGTAATATGTGCATGGAAGTGTAGCTAGTGGAATTATCTGCTGAGTTAAGAAGAAAAACATCGATCAAAGGATTAACCGATAATGTGTTGATTGATTAATTACTTTTATCTTGCACAGCGGATTTGTCAAAAGGTAGTGTTTATATAATAATAATAATAATATGGAAATGTTAGCGCTAAATCCAACCACTAAGTGGGTGCTCAAAGCGCTACAAAATAATAATAAATATATGTACATATACTGAATACACACACATTCTGTCGTAAAGTGCCTGTATAAAAAAAACATATTTCCTTCCGCCAGTAGGTTGATTGATTGCTCATTGTTGTCTAACTAAATTATTTTTTAAAGAATAGTGGACCTCATGTAAATAGTTATCTGGTGTGCTATCTTTGGTAACCAATGAGACTATACACCACTGTGAAAATTCTGAAACAGTCACGTGACTCACGTGCCTGACTCTGAGGGTGTGGGTTCGGATCCTGGATGGGACTCAACCCCAAAAGTACTAGAATCTGTGAGGTGAGGTGAAATTGGGTTTAACGTCGTGCTTGAGAATATTTCGCTCATATGAGGACGTGCATATAAATTGTACCAAAATTTAGATTCTATTGACGTCTCATTACTGGAATGCTGTCAGTTAAGGGGTACTCTTCTCTAGCCTGTATGTTGTGGAAAACACGTCAATTTCAACCTAAACGGTGCGTACGTCCTGCACGGCTTACGGAAAATCAGGGTCTACGCGCCTTTGGGTATGCTGGAGCTTGGAATGGCCCAAAATGAAGTGGCCAGGTATTTTGGTGTCCATCGAAACATGATCTCATCTCTATGGAGACGTTTTAACATTATGGGAACACGAGAGGACGCGTGACGTCACGTCAGCAAGACAACCACATTCAGCTGACCCATCTAAAGAATCGATTCCAGACTGCCAGTTTGACTGCTCTGACCATTCCTGGCTTATGTCCAATCAGTTCAAGGACTGTACAGAAATGACAAGGAGCACAACATCCAGCTCCTGCAATAACTCTAATTTTGCTCCAACATCACCAACATGCTTGACTGACCTGGTGCAGACAGCATCTACGGTACAGGTGACAGATGGCAGCTCAGATGGCAGTGCGCGAGTGTACAGACGGTGAGGAGAACGGTATGCTGACACGTGTGTTGTTCAACATCGACAGTTTGGTGGCGACACCATTATGGCATGGGGAGTAGTGTTGGGAATAGGAGGACATCATTCGACCCAAACAACCTGCAATACCTCTAGTTTTGCTCCAACGTCACCGACAGGCATGACTGACTTGGTGCAGACAGCATCTGACAGTACAGGAGACAAGGTTGGAATGGTGTTTTGTTCACTGACGAGTCGAGATTTCACATGGACAGCTCAGATGGCAGGGCAAGGGTGTACAGAGGGCGAGATGAGCGGTAAGCTGACGCGTTCGTTGTTCAACGGCGACAGTTTGGTGGCGACAACAGCGTGGTATGGGGAATCATCACATCTCATGGTCAGACACAACTTGTCATTGTCATTGGCAATGTGACAGGTCTGAGATACAGGGCTGAGGTCATTGTGAAGCCGTTCAGTCAAGAATAGAGACGTAACTTCACGTTTCAACAAGATAACTCCGGTCCACATGTCGCTCGTGGTGTGACAGATTTCTTGAGACAGCAGAACATTCCGGTACTCCCCTGACCAGATGTTTCTCCTGACTTGTCCCTTATCGAGCACGCTTGGGGTGAAATTGCGCGACGTTTACGCCAAGGCCAGAATAAGCTATTGACGTTGGCTGAATTGGTATACAAGCGTTGGTTCAGACATAAAACAACATTCCCCAAGCTTTCTTCAATCGCATGTCGTCTGTGCGTCGTCGTTGTCAACCCTGTATCAACGGCAATGGTGGACACACATGATACTGAATTTGTGTAAAAGTTATGTTATTCCAGTAGTATATGTGTAGATGGCACCGACTGGAAAAGCAATAAAGATATGCACTGCATTATATACTCTGCTCCGTTCCCAGTTGTTCGTTGTCTTCAATATCTGTTGTGGCCACCATGAGCCTCCCAAACTGTTCTGCACCGTCTCAGCATGGACTAAATAAGTCTTTGAATTCGACCTCCTCTTGCAATGCCTGCGACAGTTGATCCAACGTCTACGTCTAAATCAAAGAATTTATGTAAATATGTTTGGTATCTCTCTAATGTTCAGTAGCTCTGCTGATGTAACACAAATTCCTGAAAAGGCATTAAAGTATTATTCTATTCTATTCTATTCCACAACTTGGAAGGTCATGAAAGCACTGTCATGTTCACGTTCTGAAGACACTGAATAGTGGCATGTGCTGTGTCAGTCCTTGAATTACCTTCTTGGAACAACTCAGTCTGGTGGCCAATGATCGAAACCATGTGAATCCTTAAGATTTCGTCTCTGTACCTAATAGCAGTTACATTGCCCTTAAGGCGCACAAAGTTAGATTTCTGTGAGTAACGCTATGACTCCCCACATCGAGACCACCATATCGGTCAGTCGGGCCAAAACGTCCATTTCGACGTCGATAGACCGTACTCTTCCGTCTCGGCACTGAAGCAAAAAGCCTGGTTCTTCACTGAACCATACACGTCGCCAGTTTCGATTCGACCGTTATTGCACCAGTGGACCAATCGACGTCGATGTAGTAGTCGCAGCACAGGGCCAAAATAGGGTTTTCTGGCTTGAATGCCAACTTTTCGTAAACGATTACGAATGGTTTGCGCCGACACTCTCCTCAAACCAGGCATTGCACTTACAGTTGCAGTTGCTGTGACAGTTAGATTCCGCAAATGAAGTACCCGGATGTACCTATCCTGCAGTGGTCATCCGAGGTCTACCTTTCGAGGCCGGTCTTGCATAGAATTGGTTTGCTGATATCGGTCCCACAAACGACATCTGCAACGGCAGATTGACTCCCAGCCTCCAGACGTGTATTGGCAATGCTTTAATTTACAGAAGTGGGTCGCAGCATAACGATATTCTTTCATTTAGTTAAAAATGCTAATGACGGTCTAAAGGAAAACGGCCTTATATAGGCAGTGTTCCTGCTCACGTTTCCTCCGAACTGCACGTGCCATATGGCAAGCCGTTTTCACATTTATTAAGAAATTTCACATTTATTAAGAAATACTGATATCTTAAATTATTTTAAAGATAATCTTGAATGAAAATAGAGATATCTTGAATTGAATTGAAGAAATCTCGAATAGAGATAATTAAAGATATCTCCATTAAAATTCATTATATCGCGAAATGAATTAAGGATATGTTGAAGCATATTAATGATATATCTTTAAAAAATTTGCTGTGCTGATATGTTGAATTGAATTAAAGATATCTCAAATAGAGATAATGTACTGAAAAATTACTGATATCTTATATTGTTTTAAAGATGTCTTGAACTGAATTGAATATATCTCGAATTGAATTGGAGATATCGTGAAATGAATTAAAGACATCTTGAATCGAGATATTCAAACGATTTCCAGGTATCTACAAACACTTCCGGCTACACATCCGTAAATACTTGAATTGTTTCTCTTATTAAGGACTTCCGCTTATTTTAGATATCTTCAAATACTTCGGTTTGTAAAGTACTGTGGGTAATGTTTATTTGTGTTTTACAGCAGTTGTATCTTGGTAAAATGACTTTGTCCCTTGGTTTCAGTGAATAAGATTTCAAAACTCATACACATCACTGTCCAAATGCAATGGACAACCCGTGTTGCACATTGCAGACATTGGACAGTTGCATAGATTTGGCTGTCACATTGCCTCCAGTGTAATTCGGATCCATCGACATTCCGTTGCTGTGGAAGCAGTCCGCATTGGTGGGCGTGGCTTAATGATATATGTTCACATTCATCGGAATGCAATTACACAAAAATATATTCAGTGTAACAGTGTAACTCCGTCTTTAATTCTGCATACAATGTAAACAAATTGTTTAGCATTCAACTTCAGTCGGTTGTCTTTCAATCAGTATCTTCGATCAGCAAATCCATGCACTAGATCTGTCGGGGTTCTGTGTTTGCCACTTTTCTACATAAATCGTAAAAATAAGTAGCTCCTCTTCAGCTCACACTTTGATCTGGAAACAAAACATCAAATACATTGATCACCATCAAGAACATGAATGCCACTGTAGGGAAGGCAGAATCACTGACAACTGCAAGCATCGCAATTCTCACTATTTGTCATCCAGAGTGTTATTTTGAGTATGGTTGGAAGTATAGAACATCTACTCCAAGAGTGAGTGAGTTTAGTTTTACGCCGCACTCAACAACATTCCAGCTATATGGCGGCGGTCTGTAAATAATCGAGTCTGGACCAGACAATCCAGGGATCAACAGCATGAACATCGATCTACGCAATTGGGAACCGATGACATATGTGTCAGCCCAATCAGCGAGCATGACCACCCGATCCCGTTATTCGCCTCTTACGACAAGCATGGGTTACTGAAGATCAATTCTAACTGTTGTCTATTTTTCGCTATTCATATTCAAAGTCATATATTCAAAGTCACCAATATCGGATGAAACCACCTGTTTTCCTGGGATGCATGAATTCTTCCATGCATACCTCTGATGATTCGACCAAGGGTAGCTTCCCACTGACGTTGTACTACGTATTATACCATGCATCAATTCTGATCGTGATTGACAAATGTCGGGTTGCAACTTGAACACAGGAGTATGATATATCAGTTTATTCATCTTGAACTCCCGCCTCTCTCTTCCAGGTCGAGTAAGCTTTCGAGAATCCACAATGCTGAAACTACATTAAGGGAAATTTCACCAATACTAGAGCATAGATTGGTTTGAGCAACCTTTCTTCGAGATGGAGAAAAGAGCGATAACTTGTCAAAAGATGCATTATTTATGAACTTTTTAAAATACCAAATCTAATTCATTCGTGCGTCTTTTGTTGAGTGATAAATAATTCTAGTGAATTCACAACATCCACCCTGCTTGGCCCTCCACTCTTCACAACATGCCACCACGTGATAGATGCTCGTGCAGCACGTGCGTTTTTCAGTGTGGATCTACACAGTGTTTGTTCTCCTACACTCCACTCAGTACTGAGTTGATATGTGTTAATTTCGTAAAGGGGCCACAGACCCATGATAGACATTGTGGTACATATATTTGTTGTATACAGAGAGCTTGAAATGATGGCTCGCAATTATAATAGGTGTATTTATACATAAGTAACAGCTTTTACAAAATATATGCATTTAAGTGTTTGTACTCCACTCAGTACTACAAACAACACAACAGTTACATGTTATGTCATGTGCGGTGTACTCCTGAGAATACTCCTCCACCGTCCATGCCATTTGAAAACCCTATCAGGAATTTCCCGATTTGCAGCAACACTCGCCCCTCCTGATCTCAAACTGTGCAAACCATAGCATTTAATGTCAGGCACATATGGTTTAAAGGCCTCAATAAACACTTCTCGTAGCCGAGTATAAGACATTGGTTTGTTATCTGATCTAAAACAATAACTTTCTTTTGTTTTGCACATATTCCTAAACACAAAGAAATCAGAGTCAGCGTTTTTGCAAAATGAAGATACTTCCAAATACCTTTCCAAGCACTTTACGGGACACATTTTTGTATTGGTTCTACCAATAACCAGCCAGTCTCCATCCCGAAACACATCTGTTTTGAACTCTCGATGAAAACTGTCATATAAGCATCGTTGTAGATGAGATCGTCATATTTCACTTTCAGTAATTCAGGGGAAGGTAAGAAATCAGCAAAAGCAAGAAGTCACATAGATACAATACTCAAATTATATACATTAGGCTCACACATTATATCATTAAACATCTTTTCAAGCAATTCTAACGTGACAGTCTCCTTTTTCTCCACAGGTTTCGCTAATTTTCGCTTGGCAGCTTCTAATACATTAACAACTAGAGCATTATCAGTAGGAGATGATTTAAGAAATACAGCTCGCTCTACCACAATGTGGGGCGGTGGGGTGGCCTAGTGGTTAAGCGTTGGCTCGTCACGCCGAAGACCCGGGTTCGAATCCCCACATGGGTACAATGTGTGAAGCCCATTTCTGGTGTCCCCGCCGTGATGTTGCTGGAATATTGCTAAAAGCGGCGTAAAAACAAAACTCAGTCAGTCTCAGTCTACCACAATGTATAGTGTAATAAAGCACACTTTCGCCCTGAACTATTATAGTTAAAGTATGATGACGCTTGCGTAAACATTGCGAACGTTACCGTGTCGCTGAAAACGTGTGAGTCGAATTGACACATTTTAACCGTCGTAAAACATAAATGTAATGTTTCCTCTAGTGATGTTAGCTGCGTGAAGCAACTGCAAACCAAGAAACGGGATGCAACGGAGAAGTTTACTGTAGGAGGCCGTACGAGGCGATGACAACTGACATGCATCGTGACGTCGCTTACATTGTGACGTAATGTAAAATGGTTTGATTACGAGGGGGCAGACTAGAATGGCGCAGTGACGGGATAACGTCATTCAATTGTTACGTCATCAAAAAACTATACCTTTGTCAGATAATGTTTGTTTTTTTCGATTGTTCTAACAGCTAGGCATCTTTGAAAGCCCAATAATATTATGAAAGTGTCTAATGCTATGATAGGCATTTTTCACCAGCGAAAAAGATTCTGATCGTTGTATCACGGATCAAAGGTATACAGCGCTATGCAAGGGACTTAAAGGTAACACAGTGGACATACCGTTAGTAATCGCCCATTCTTTCCATGCACGGAGATCATACTCGTACTTTTTGCACGCGTACATTTTGCACGTGGACGACGCTCTAGCATGAGACAAAAGAACCGGCAATCTCCAGCTAGCTGTCTCACACTCGGCGGTAGCGTCCCTATCTCCTCGGAAAACACGTGCAAAAATACATCTGTAAACACAAAATTCAATACTGAACACAAAAGCGCCAACATTTGGAAATTGTATATTGCTTATACTAAACAAACCATTTCCTTGTCTACTAGGCACATATGCCTCTTTACAAGTGGGTAAGTACACATTGTCCTTCACTTGTGAAATGAACGAACCCTGGGACACAATAAAGGCCAAAAGTTTGCAGAATACCACTGAGGTACTATCAATGTGGCCTCTAGCCAAATGGTTTAACACCCTGGCCACTAAATGCATCTGCATCGAATTATATAAAAATCATACTCACGTTTCATATAGATTCCAACTGTAACCATATCCACTGTATAAATCCATTAAGAAAGTTTACATTTTCCTATCAACATCCACCCTGCTTGGCCCTCGATGATCCACTCTCCACAACATGCCACCACGTGACAGATGCTCGTGCAGTACGTGCGTTATTCAGTGTGGAACTGCACAGTGTTTGTGTATGTGTATGAACATATTTGGCCTTCGGGCTGATATGACTGGCGAAAGGAAAAAGATTGTCATATAATAACCTCTTAATATATATCACTCGTACTATCTATAGTCGTACTTGCTGGAGCGAAATGTAACAAAAACCTGTGTCAATGATGATGAAATCGATATTATGACTTTAATGTAACCGAAAAGTGTTTGCATTTTGTGAAATAATAAAATATGCTTCACAGAGGTCCACGTCCGACAAATTCCGACAAATCATAGGCCGCTAATATATTACATTCAGTTGTGTAAAATTAAAAGATATGTATTAGGTAAGTATCGTCATTCAACATTCAACTACGCAGACCAGCAGAGAAGTAGCAGAAAACACTTCTTAAGAAAACACTTACATCTCCTACACACAGTATTTCAATTATTAATACACGTCTACGAAATCACCGTCTACGAACCAGTCTGGGCTACGAATCCACCGCGTCTACGAACTGGTTCAGTCTACGAAATCACCGTCTCCCGTCGACTTCAGATAATAATTAAAAACAGGCTTTATTGTAGATCGGGACCCAGGCGGGCTCACAAAGCCTCGTGGCTCCATCCTCGACTCATATCTAAGAAACATACAATAACACATTTTATCACAGCATCAAGCTCCTGACAATACCAAGCAAAGATCGAGATATGGTCTCTGTACCAAGCAGCACAAGAGACCCAATGTAATCGTAAATTGAGCCATTGTGGTCCAACTAGAATAAACTCTGTGGGACTAGTGCCGTTTCGGCTTACTACCTTTCGCAGCCGGAAGAGGAAGTGTAATGTATTTGTTGATGGTGTCATGGTCACCGCTGTTGACTGATGAAAGTATCAACTACGTAAGCTATAATTATTTTTGGTTTGATGTGTTAAAGGTCTAGTCTTTGTGTTGGTAAATATGATAGTATCGTTCAGGTTTCTACACTAAACAGTCTACATGTAGCTACTGTAGTAGTAGGTTACAGTGGTAGTGTTGAGCTGGAACACATGACAGCTGGTACATACAGATATAGGCTACACTACATGTTAGAAGTATGCAATAGGAATTGCGAAACTGTCACTGATTATGTGTAACAATTCTGTCACACACAATCTCATGATGATCAGTGAGTTTTAGACGAAAGTCTCACATCTCGAGACTCAAGAATACCAAACACTTCAGTGAAGTTCTAATTTTATAATCTTTTTCTTCTAAAAATATGTTGTATACTGGCAACTGTTTATAGTAAAGTTGGGGCCAGTACATTTCTGAATCCTGCTACTGGCTGCAGAACAGGTATTCCAATACATCAGTATCACACGTGCGCATTTCTGGTCAATTACAATTTGCATATTTATACCCAAGGATATTTAACAACTGTAAAACTTTTAAAAGACAGCAAAAGAAAATTCTTCACTGTAAGTATCATCAGAGAAAAATTAAAGGTAAAGTTATATAATGAACCCTATAAATATTTTTTAACTTAGTTGTGGAGATGTCACACGATCTATATTATAGCAAGTTCAAGTTAAAAAAAATCATTGTTTCATTCCCCATCAATCTACTGTAATAAAAATCACTCAACTAGTCACACAATCAATTATTTGAGATTACTTTATGATATAAAATATGTTATTTTACGAATGACATGAGAAATTCTGAAATGGTGATAGATCTAACTGTTACAGTTAGTTGTGACAAAACACCTGTTTGTACTGCCATGATTACAGGTACAGTTGGGTGTGAGAAAACACCTATTTGTACTGCCATGATTCCCTTCCTACGCGTTATATGCAAACACGATATGTGGACTGGACACATTGGTGACTAGCTAATTAAGTGTCATAATTAACTCTGTTTCATTAATTTAACTAACCGCAGAATAATTTTGTAAATACCGCTAAAGTATGGCGATAACTGTTCGGCAGCCAGTATATGTTTTGAACCACAGACCTCATCAGAGGTGTTTCTAACTAACCTCCATTCATTAGGGTTGAACCTACAAGGGTTGTTTTCTGGAATTTGTTAAAACACTTCTGGCATGGCACGAGTGACTTAGGATGCAGTTGAAAAAGAAATGTGATCTCTGAGAAGTAGAGCAGTGTCGGGTATTACCGAACAGCTAACACCATAACCTGCCTAATTCCTGTTGTGTTTCATTATAGGAAACATGCAGGGAAGTCCAACAAAGAACTGTTCAGTGTGAATCATCTTCACACACAAAGGAGAGTAAATTCTGTCCACCAATCCTGTTGTTGATAGATATTTCCCATGATCAAGTTTTCATTTTTTTGCACTCTTATTGACTCATCCAAACACCTTTGTCAGGCTATTCCGAAAAGCATTGTGTCCTAAACATTTAGTTGTGACCGAAATGTCATTGCTTCGATTTGTTGTCATTTGTTTTCAAACATGTACATGAGGTTAATATACTCTTTCTTTATTCCTGTAACTGAAATTTGCAAATAATGCAAGGTTTGATAACAGGAACAAGGAAAGTTCTGGGAGTGGATTGACAGGCCAGTGTTTGCAACTATATCAGGAGGTGTTATGTTTGTAAAGAACAAATTATCATCAGTATTTTGTGAAATATAACAATACATTTAAATTTGTAATGAAAATTAATACGTTTTAAGATGGTTCTTGAAAGAAAAAATGATAAATAAATTTCATGATTTACTGCATTACATCATGGACAATCGATTGATCGACTTTTGTTTGAAGAAGACTCGTGAAGATCTGGGTTAGAATTGATCCTCAGTAACCGATGTTTGTCGTAAGAGGCGACTAACGGGATCGGGTGGTCAGGTGGTCAGGCTGGGGCAATTCTACAGGCGTCCCATTAATCTGCATGTTTTGGTGATGAAAATAATTACCATAGCAGGGTTTTACACAACATACAAATGTGTGTCCAGTATGCACAAATGTAGAGAATGGACCCAGGAAAATATTTCACTGCGTCCAGAGGGATGCACGATATCATTTATCGCGAACCCGTGAAGATCCAGGGTAGAATAGGTCTTCAGCAACCCATGCTAGCCACAAAAGGTGACTATGCTTGTCATAAGAGGCGACTAACGGGATCGGGTGGTCAGGCTCACTGACTTGGTTGACACATGTCATCCGTTCCCAATTGCGCAGATCCATGCTCATGCTGTTGATCACTGGATTGTCTGGTCCAGACTCGATTATTTACAGACTGCCGCCATATAGCTGCAGTAGTCCCAGGAAAAATGGTAGAGGATTGGAAATCCATATAGACATATGGAACGTATGGAATATATATACCCAGGAAAAAAAAAACGACCATGCCACCAAGAAAAGATTTGTCTTCGGACCAGATTCAAGAAATACACTCCCTTCGCGGTGTGCTCCCAGCAAACGAGGTCAAAAAGCGCTTCGGTATTGGGTTCACAAGGCTGTACGAGCTATGGTGAGAGCCTGCTGCTGCTGCAGAGCCTTCGACGACCCTCTTGCCTGCCGGCAAGATAGTTCCGACATCCAGCACAACCGTATTGCCTGCTGCCGCAGAACCGCCGGCAACTATCTTGCCTGCTAGCGAGACAGCTCCGTCGACCGTCCAGGACTTCTGCTATCGTCTGGGGAAGATTGAGGCTCGTGCGGAGCAAAAAGCGACGATGGTGTCGGCTCGTGCGGAGTAAACCGCGAAGACGTCGTCGGCTCGTGTGCAGCGAACAACGAATTTGTTGGTCGACATCTTGTCGAGGCTGGACAGGACGATGACGAAGAACTCCTCCAGGAGGAGGAGGTTGAGGTAGAGACGCATCCGGATATCCAGAAGGTGCTGCAGACATTAGAATCGACCCAAAAGTGGACCTTCCTTTCGATAGTCGCCGTGTTTGTCTGGAATGTCGTCTACAAGACCTGGAAGCACAGCAGCAGCACACCACCACCGGCCCACCACACACCGGTCCACAGACAGGTCCACGAAACGCCAAAACATATGGTGAGGTGAGGTGAGGTGAAATTGGGTTTAACGTCTTGCTTGAGAATATTTCGCTCATATGACGACGTGCATGCGTGTGTATGTGTGGCTGCTTGTACTAGCCCAGACTTAAGCTGGTTTTATAGTGCTAGACCACTGAGATACCCAAGTACCATATTTTAACGTCCTTTTAGTATGATTAATGCCCGCCCCAGGAGGGACCAACGAACCCACGCCATCTCTTCGACCTTAAGCTCTCTGGGCGGAAGCTCTAACCACTACACCACGGAAGCGGCCCCCAAAACATATGGACCCTCACCATATGCACTATAGAAGTCGTGTTGTGCCCTAGAGCTGGGCTCTGTCGACAGATCCATCCAATGTCTGCAACATTGTTCTTTTGTTGCGCTCCATTTCTTTCCCGTCCACCGCTTGTCAGCTCGGTCTCTGGGAGCAGCAGCAATTCGACTTCTCGATCGTCTTTCCTTTTCGATATGGGCGAGTGGCAGATTTTGCCGAGCCTGCACCGAAACGGTCCACCCACCAACCGTTAAGCGTTCTATTCCGCCGGCGTCTCGAATCTTTTCTCGTATCTTGTAGCTGTAGACCGGAATCGTTTTTTCTCTTGTCGACGGCATATCTAGTAGCAGCAACAGTCGGTTCTTCCCTTCGTATTTCACTACGTCGAACTTTTTGCAGATGCAGTTTCCTTCCGGAATTTCTGAGGCTTTTCGGTGTTCGTTGCCACTTCCATATCCTTGGACCCACCGTAGTTGGGCAAGGGGATAGTATGCCATCCCCGTCCTCGTGGCAGATCTGCTTGTCCAGATAGCTGTCGGAAGATACAAGACTCTCTAGCTGCATGGACAATTGACCGCCAATTCATCGACGAGGCGTTGGTAGCGCAGGCACCAGAAGAGGCAGTCGTCGTCGTACAGATTCTCTACGTTTAAGAGAAAGTAATGGATCAGGATTTCTCCCGGAACCTTGAGTGGAAGTCTATCCTGTGGTGTGTAGTCTTCTATCGCTTTGTTTTCCACAGAACGCATTTCTTGCTGCCGACGCAGTGGTCGATTTGCACGTAGAGTTGTCTTGTTCGAAGACAGCGGGGAGTTCCGATATGGTGGCCAGGCAGTCGGTGCGGCGGTGGTGTCTTCTGAGTGCTGGGCGGCAGCAAGCGTCCGCGAGAACGATGCGGAGTTTGCCCGCTGCCGGGCGAAATTGGTTGGGTGGGTAGAGGTAGACGAAATCCACTATTTTGCCGTCTTCTGCGAATTGGCAAAAGTACAGCAAAGACAGTTCCAGAAACTGCCGTGGGATCTGGTAGCGTTCGTAGAAGGTGTGTCCCAATTTCTCCAGAATTTGTTTCTCTCGGTCGGAAAGCAATGCGTGGGGACACTTCTCCAGGAGTTCTCTCAGAGCTGCCTGGATTCGCGTGTATCGGGCTTGCGATATGTGGTAGTTCCTCTTTGCTTCCCGAAGGGACAAACGACCCGATCGGATCTCGGCATAGGCTTCGCTGCGATAGCTTGGTTCCTGTCATATTTTTTTTTCTATATCCCTACTGGTGTTTTTTTTTTTTTCGTATACCTGTCTTGGGGTTGGATGGACTACTGGGACTGGGAAGGAAAAAAACCCAGTGCAAACAAAGAGTGTCCCTATATACTCAAATGTTGAGTGGAAGTGCACCTTTTGGTCTTTTCCTTCTTATTTTATCATTATGTTTTCTTTGCGGTCCCGTTACATCATTCCCTTTCCACTGCTGGTATATTGCTGAGTGTGGTGTAAAACTAAACTCACTCATTCATTCACTATTATTCATTGTACCCACAACACATCTATAACTTCGCTAAGTGTTGGGTTGTTTCTTTCAGAACAGTTACTTACATCATTTCATCCATCAGTCCACGTGATCAATGATCCATTCCAAACATGAAAGTAATTATCACAACATACAGTTCTCTACATTGTTACTTCATAGGACCCTCATATTGCCTGCAAGGACCCTTAAAACTAATAAGTAGTGGTCCACTGGACCCCCATGTTTGTGAGTGGAGGTAAAACCTTGCATAATGTTATCTTCCTGCTAGTTTCAGGTGATGCACAATGTGATGGCTGCAGTGAACTGTTGCTGATGTTGACATGGGATGTGCTTTGTCATCTTCAAAGCACAACAGTAAAGCACCTGCTAACTCAGCCGGCCGAAATATACGCATCAACAGTAAGTCCAGTAATTCCTTTACAATCTCTGTTGCACCATATATTGCCAGTCCCCCTGTTGACTGGCTGAATCACACATAAAATCCCTAGAGTTTTCACCACAGATATTCTCCTCACTGTAGGTGTCCTCACAGTCCAACAGTGTGTGTCTACATAAAAAGAATATATTTTCCCTGAGATATCAGCGCATGATTAAGTATTTTTTCATTGTAAATTCTAACATATTCTCTTAAATACACACTTAAATATAGAAAAATTGTACTCCAAATACAGATGGGTGGAGACGTATTCTTGGAAAATATTCTGTAGGATACTGTCATGGTTTTGGCATTTCTAAGATACCTGAAGACCATCACCTTAAAGGGGCACTGATCTCCAACAATTCGCCAGGCCTTCTTCTTGTCTTTCGTTTTGTGTTTTTCCTGGGCATACCCAAATGATATCCCAGAGATCTCTACTGGTTCATAATGTGACTACATTTGGGAGTAAAAGGTTGTTTCCTCACATTGATCAACAAAGAGAAAATTTCATTCTTTTCATGGAATTAATATCATTATCGGTAATATTAGTATTGGTAAGATTTGATAAGTCGCTTGCATGATATTTTGTCAATTTCATTTAAACTATTTGGACTTGTAACTCAAACTGCCTGAACATTGGTTATCAATCAAATAGTTTGTATATGTTACAGTCAGTGTTGCCTTTTTATGGAGCTTGAGAAGACCTTTCCCCACAGCCTGATTTTTTGTAGGTGTTCTTATGATGAGATGATACGTTCTAGGTTCAAGTTGGCGGTGTTAGAATGAAAAAATAATTTTTGGGGGGTTGGCAATAAAATTAGGGTCGGTTGGGGCGATGAGAAACAGAAAATAAAAATGCTGCCCTTAAGTAAAGTGACAAAATTTGTATGCATGGATTAGTTGATTCTTTTTCATGCCACAACAGTGAATGAAAACAAAATGTAAAAATTGTAAATTACAGCCAACATAAATTATGTGTGCAATATTTGGCTGTTACCTTGCTCGGGGAATGTTCCCGACAATATCTACACAGAAGAACAATTATCTGTTACGCCTGCAGCTGACAGAGAAACATGTTTAATGCCATGTGCCTTTAACAATCTGAAATTGTAAAGTATATATAGCAATTCACGCTATTTTAACTCATGTCTGTTTCTAGGCTGGTCTTGTAAATTTGTGTCAAGTGTTTCACATAGGCCGAAAGTGTGATTAGTTCGCTCAGATAGCTTACATTAACATTGAGCTGAACAATCACAGTAAGGGACCATTCATAAGTTATGGCTAGGGTGGTGGTGATGATTTCAAGGCGGGGTCACCCATTTTGTTCTGAGGAGCTAGGGGGTCAGCAATTTTTTACACACGTACTAGGGGGGTCAGCAGTTTTGTACATAAAAGTATGTTTAAAATAGTTTGCTTAGAAATTATGGGAAGGGGAGTGGGGTGTCATTGATTTTGTACATGACATGCAGGGGGTTGGGGTGTGTCACCAATTTTGACATTGTTTTAGGAGGGGTCATTCACATTGTACATGCTTCTCCATAAAAATCATCATCAACCCCCTTGCCATAAATTATGAACGGTCCCTAAGTACACTTTATGCCAAGATGTTTGTGTATGCCATCAGCTTTAGTAAACATACATACATAAACACTTACTTTTGACACATCCACTATACAAAATAACAGTGATTAATCAATTAATAATTTTTGGAACTCAGGTTATGGTTCTACTCCCGCTGAACATCCACTTGCATATTACATCATCTGTAAAACATTAACCACATCAGACCTGGATTTATATGGTTATATTATGCCAACAAATCGTCTCCTGGCTGCTGATTCCTAGGTGGCACTGTTGAAGCCAGAGATTCCCCTTTGCTACAGGTCTAAGAAAGTGTTGTGTACAACAGATTTGAGATGGTATTTTTAGGGCTGTAACGATGCATCAAACTATCGATGGATTGCAATTGTTGAGTCTCTGATAGCAATTAATTGATGGTTGAAACAAAAAACTGTCGATGCATTGATAGTGACTATTGATAGTTTAGTCATTGACTTCCGTTGATAAATGCGCAGCACAAAATACAGGAAGTACCAGATTTGTTCTCTTTGATTTAGAGTTATCCGCCCCTGTTATGTTTTAACTGTTCACTTTATCTGTGTTTCAAGTTTCTTATCAGTTATTAAAAGAGACTGAAACTACTTCAACTTGTTTTTATTTCATATAAACTATACATTAATTTGGGAAATGACTTCAAATGAGACAAATCAAGGAGAAAAAAACTATTGCAATAGTATTGTAATAGTTGGTCGCAATAGTATGTTGCAATAGACTATCGCTATAGCAATATAGATGTTTCCCTCTCAAAAGTTACCCCTAGTATCTTTCTCATTTTCTTTTACATACCGAGTATAAAACATTAATGGATGCACTTTTATGTCTTGAAAACCTGCAGGCAAGAAGAGTAAATTGCTGAAAGAAAAACTTTCACCTTTGTAGTGGTCTACAGTAGGATGGAAAACCATTTGTTATCTTTGGGACGAGGATGGTGAAGCAATGGGAGCGTGTCTAGTGTACTCTGCCTACTGCACACCATCACAAGAGACACAAGGTAGCTAGCTGTAGGGTCCCTCAGCCTGACACTTGGATTTGTTGGGGTTGTTTCAAAAGTGCCTACATCACCTCCTATCTTCCAATCCCGGTTGAGCAACATCTACAAGATCCAACAAAGCTCATGCACTGGGTTATCGCATCATTCACAAGGGATTTACACCTTCAAAGATGGTCAACTTCGAGGAGCATCTTACAGGGACAACACTGTTTAATCTGACCCCGATGAAAAATACTCCTTTGTTACTTTGTATTGGCTTTGACAGACACAGAGAGTTGTAGCCAATGTGCATGCTCCTTTTGAGGGGTCCTAGTTGGACTAAAGCTGCAGAACTGACTAGAAGAAAGACAGCCTGCTGCTGTCATTTTAACAAGAGATGTTGTAGGTAGAGATGTCCACAGGTGTTGACAACCCTCTAGCCTACTCTTGAACAGAATTCCACTTATCAATTTGATTCAGTACCACTGAATGTCAACATAGCACCTTGTTTGGGACCAGTGGGAGGACGTTTCCTCCTTTGGAATTGGGACGTCAGACCATGGATTACAAGAAACATTGAAGACAGGATGTGACACTTCTGTTATGTGTCCTGGCCTTAATAGGACCTAAATTAGATGCTGCCAACTTAGCTTTAAAGACTTTTGCAGTGTTGGCTAACCTCTTGTAGAGCTCTCGATCTTGACATTGCTGCCCCCTGCCAAACGTCTAGTATATCTGAACTACTAAGTGGTTCCTCTAGCCAAATGTTATGAGAGGCATCCCCCTCATGTTCCAGTACATCATCTCTTGAAGATGCAGCAAGCACAAGCACATGGACGGTCAGTGGAGAACAGGACCATCCATGAGACTGAGTGGAAGAGAAGGGCATATATCTGGATTTGAAAACTTGGTTAAAGATCAGTTACATCAATCATCAGTTCTAGTTGCAAGACACTACAATAAATGCTTATCTGCAGAGGCAGGGTGGCGCAAGGTCTGGAAATGGAGACTTTTCTTTTATTTCATTTAGGAGGCTTAATGAATTTCAGATTAGAAACCTGCCACATTTGGGGGAATTCAACACCCCAGCAGACTACCTCATAATGAGGAAAATACGGAAAATTATACTGACTGAATTATCAGTTCATCCTGACATACTCCAGTGGTTAATTACAATGTGGGACACTATTCATCTCTACCTGTATATAAACCACAAACTTTCACTTTATGTAAGCACAGTTCAGGATGACAAACTGTCGTGTTCATGGGTTGGGAGGGTCTGTTTGCCTTTCTCTCCTAGACACAAGAAGAAGAACACTGATTAAGTCATTATGCTCCCCACCCAGCTTCACACATCAATGGCTGGTATCGCTGAATCTGTGCCCCTCTCATGGAAGTCATCAGACATATTCCTAAACTTTTCTTTTCTTCACCTTCCCATTAAGAAATTATCTTGAACAAGATGCAGGCTTCTGGACTGTACAGATGTGCCTCTGAAGCAGTACGATACTAAATGGCAGAAACAACAATCAGTCGAGAAGATCTGGCTCTTGGGGAGATGGAAACATCAGCATTCCCATGATTTCTTGCTTCATCTGACAGGACAGGAATTTCCTTCATGGAACTGTTGAAATATAATGATCAGTTTCTGTGCTGTTTTGAAGTCGTTTCAGTTAGGAGATATTAAACTGTTCATATTCATACTTTTCCCAGAATTCATCTGTTGTATTGCCAGCCTTGTTGGAATCTCCTTATGGAGAGGTGAACAGGGCCATATTCAATCAGGATTTGAACAATATATCTAGGAAAGCTTTGCCATCATTGTTTGCCAAACAAACAACAAGCTACTACTGCAGGTCCATGGCATTATGGGCGCTATTCGTTTCCAGATTTGAATGGACTTGTGGATCCCTCAGTAAGACGGTTATGCCCAGTAATAGCTGTACAGTATTATCTGCTTGCCATTAGAGTCATTAAGACATAGAGAATGATTGTCCATGTGCTTCAAGTCACCTGAAACACCAGCTGGACTAGAAGTTTTGGAACCTAGTATCCACAGAACATGTTTCAACTGTAGAGTTCACAGAATACATTCTTCAAATTCTATTTATGTGAGTTCCTTTCACATCCTGAGGCATACATTCATTGGTTCCATTGGTGCCTACCCAGTCTGTAGTGTTACATTAGTTCCTCCCCTTTCCCCAACACCCAGCATCTACTACCTTACGAGGTAACCTAGCCTTTCCATCAGTTGTCGGACTGTGTTTTAGTTTAAAAGTGGCCAAAATGATAACTTGAAGTAATTACATGTAATTATCAGAAGAAATCAAATTTGAGGTTATGTTTTTAAATAGATAAAGCACTAGTAAAATATTAACAAGTTATCTGTATCAAAGAAACCTAGCCACTTGCTCACAGACAAGTAGTGACAACATATTGTGCTTAGTGATCCCAGGAGTCAAACAATATGAGTTTGAACCCTTGTTTTATGTGAACACTTGTAGTTGTTTTACATCTTTCAGTCCGGTGTTTTAACTTGTCATGTTGTTTTCTGTTTCAGTAATTGAACCGACAAGCATTGGGGAACACAGTGATATAGCATTGCAGTCTCCAAGTTCCCAGCCCAGTGAATCTGGTGTTGTGTCTACAGATACCCAGACTCAAGACGTGGTGCAGTGACTTATTCTGTATCTACAGATACCCAGACTCAAGACGTGGTGCAGTGACTCATTCTGTATCTACAGATATCCAGCCTCAAGACGTGGTGCAGTGACTCATTCTGTATCTACAGATATCCAGCCTCAAGACGTGGTGCAGTGACTCATTCTGTATCTACAGATATCCAGCCTCAAGACGTGGTGCAGTGACTCATTCTGTATCTACAGATATCCAGCCTCAAGACGTCATTCAGCAATAAATCAGTAGCAAGTTGCTTAGCCAACTCAAGACCCATTAGCAACTTTGTATTGAAGAGACAGAAAGTGAAATGTCGAGCTTAGCACCCAGTGTGGAAGACGTGGTCATTGCGTACTGCCCCTGTGACATAAACTTTGTCAGGAAGTTAGCTGGTAAGTTACCCAATCTGGGGGGAAAATAAGGCCATTGAAATCAACAGAGTGGCCATGTTTGTTGTACTTCAAGCCACCATTTCAAGGACTTCATGATCCAGTTTGCTATGTATGTTATTTGAAATTATATACACAGAGATACCGTTGTTATGACATCAGTCATTATTTTTATTTACAATGGCTAATACTATTTGCTACTCTCTACCTTTGCCTGAGATACAGTAAACATTCTGTGTTATATTCCCCAAGAACAGGAAAACCATCTCATCTGAACTCACCCCACGGCCACATATCTTCACCAGCCAGTGACTGTTATTCTCTCCATTTTCACATAAGTTTTCTTGGATGATCTCTTTAGGCCCTTTATGCATCATATCTATATATATTGATATATTTTTTTTCAATTTGATCGTTAATTCATTTTATTTTTTTTCATCTTAATTACAACCCACCATCTCTTCATGAAAAACTGTTCTATATATAAACATAGAGTATGAGACCGGGACCCGGAAGTTCCCAAGGGATTATATGAACAGTACATAAAATCTGACTTCGGTGGCTGCCCACCACCTACCGACGGATTCAAGCAATTAGTATGAGTCAGGATATCTTTTTATACCTATCCTAAATCATACACTCCTTAGTTCCCAACCATCACCACTCTCAACTAATTACATTTTTAACTATTTGGAAGTTTCTAAAATGGAGAGAGTGACAGTCACTGGCTGGTCACATGAGAGGCCGGTGTGCAAGTCCAGGCCCCGATTTCTCGAAACAAACTTAAGTCTGAGTTTTGACTTAAGTCAGAGTTTTTACTCAAATTGAGAAAACTCATTTCCCAGAATGAACTCAAATCGATATTACACTCAAGCATACTAGACAATTTGAGTTTGATGAATAGTATACTTAAGTTTTTTTGGCATTTTTATTTTCAAAATGCAGCGGAGTTAAAAATTCATCTCTTTCAAATTGTCAAACTCAGTTTGAAATTTGAGTAAAAACTTAAGTTTGTTTCGAGAAATCGGGGCCAGATGTTGGGATGTGTTCAGATGAGATGTTTTTACTGTTTTGGGGGAACTTAACCCAGAACATTTCCAGTGTATGTCTGGTTAAGGGAGAGAGAATCAAATAGTATGTGTCAGGATAAGGAAAAACTTTTATATTTACTCTAAAAATACATTTTTTTTCATTTACCCACAGATATGCATGAACATCTAAAGAGTTCAGATGCATTGGGTAAATTTCTGGGTTTTTTCAAGGTCATACGTTGTGGTGATATGAAGGACAACTATCACTGAAGTATGTGGGTTTATTCTAGCTCAAGATGGGCTTACATAACAAGCATGGCAAGGCAGTGGCCATGTGCTCTCAACTGACTAGAACATGGGCAATGAGAGTTATTCCCCCTTACGCTATAAATAGCACTGGGGCCCTGTTGGGGATAGAGGCCCATTTAGGGTTGTACAGTTCATACTAGAATAGCTGATACCACATACGTGTAACTCTGTAAGCACAAATTATTTAGTTCATATCTTGGGATATTGATGTACTCCAAATAATCAGTGAATCATTCCCACCTGCTACATGATGAACACGTTTCTTGGCTGTGTGCTTTTGTTATTGTGGACTATTGAGAGTGAACAAGTGAGTGTTGTTCCCAATACAGGACAGGGATGAAGACATGTTTATGTGTGAGTGTCATCAGCCATTGAAATTCTTCTAATACTTTTTCAAAATGAATCTTTGTAATTATTATTATATGTATTTTGATATGCACAAGTATTTCTTTACACACAGAAACAACAGTAAATGAATCCTGTTTACTCACTAAAGAGTATATCCACACAGAAGAGGAATCAGTTTCACAATTGGTGGTGATCACGTTGCAGAGATTATCTCAGTCTGGATGTCATGTACAATATATACAAACTTTATAGATAAGGACTTCAAGCAGGAATGACAACAGTACTAGGATCTGTATCTAAAATGCTACTCAAACACGTTATGGATGTGATGTGTACCAAACAGGGTGTGTCACAATGTCAAGGGTAACCAGTGAAAAAGGGTTTCATATGGGAAGTGTCACAAATGAGAGATGTTTAAGTTGGGAAGTGCAACAAATTGTATCCAATGAGAATTGTCAGAAAATGTTATACATCCATCAGATATATATGTACGTTGTGAGATTTCTTGGCAGATGCTTTGAGGGAGGCCAAGTTATCTGTCTGGTATGCCAGCCCCTCACTTCCCCCTCAACAGGCTGGGCAACTGAAGAGTCAGGCAATTCTGGGATGCAAGGTAACCACTGAACATTTAGAAGCAGGGCTACAGATAAGGGGCGTACAGGGGTAATGTACTCCTAAAAATCAATGAAGTACGACATAATATAAGATTTCAAGCGTATCATGTAAGCACATAAATACCTTTGTACGTCTAACATATATGAAGTTTAATAGCTGAAAAGTTGTTTAATATTATAAATAACAAACCACATCCCCAACTCGCTCACACAAAAATATGTCAGTACTCCTTCAAAATTCTCAGTACACCTCCACTTGCAATATGAGAGGTAAGTACACCCACACACCCAGGGTTATCTGGAACCCTGTAGAAGTATTTGGGGGACTTTAGATACCAATTCACACATGATGATTACCTACATATTTAATGACCCTTGAATGGACATAACATGGTCATCTTGTTTTATACACCATTATGTCAATGAAAAAGTATTCAAAGCGACTTCAAAATCAACTCACTTCCTGTATGTTTTGGCAAGCGTAATGTTGATTCCATAGACTTTGCTATGTGGACTTGCATGTTTTCAGGGTCTATCAGAATTTTTCTTAGTTGGAAAATCTGACCTGCAAGTGGTCATGTACTTTTCTTAACAGGGTATGGCAGCACAGTTCTCTATAGTTATACCAGGCCTTACTCTAAACGTATAGTCATACACTGTGTCTCCAGACAGATGGCCTTACTCTACCAGTATAGTTATACAAGGTGTCACCAGACAGATGGCCTTGCTCTACCAGTATAGTTATACAAGGTGTCTCCAGACAGATGGCCTTACTCTACCAGTATAGTTATACAAGGTATCTCCAGACAGATGGCCTTACTCTACCAGTATAGTTATACAAGGTATCTCCAGACAGATGGCCTTACTCTACCAGTATAGTTATACAGAGGTATCTACCAGACAGATGGTATCTCCAGACAGATGGCCTTACTCTACCAGTATAGTCATACAAGGTATCTCCAGACATATGGCCTTACTCTACCAGTATAGTCATACAAGGTGTCTCCAGACAGATGGCCTTACTCTACCAGTATAGTTATACAAGGTGTCTCCAGACACATGGCCTTACTCTGCCAGTATAGTTATACAAGGTGTCACCAGATAGATGGCCTTACTCTACCAGTATAGATATACAAGGTGTCACCAGACAGATGGCCTTACTCTACCAGTATAGTTATACAAGGTGTCTCCAGACAGATGGCCTTACTCTACCAGTATAGTTATACAAGGTGTCTCCAGACACATGGCCTTACTCTACCAGTATAGTTATACAAGGTGTCACCAGATAGATGGCCTTACTCTACCAGTATAGATATACAAGGTGTCACCAGACACATGGCCTTACTCTACCAGTATAGTTATACAAGGTGTCTCCCCGTGGATGGCCTTTCAGATATTAGTGTAATGCGGTTCTCATTGTTAAAGTATTCACTTTTTTTTATTGACCTGTTATGATAGACTGACAGGAATGAATGAGTTGAGTTACTGTTTCAGTGTGCCTGCTTTGATTCCAGGTAGGCATACCTGCAGTGCTCCCTCATCTTTATGGCAATACATGTAGCTTCTGTCCCTCGATAATTATGTCTCCCCCGAAGGGCATTGGCATTGGTGTTCCCATTGTTTCCAGAACATAACTCTAAAACTACTTGAACAATCTTCACCAAATTTGGTATACTGCCTCTACATATCATGTAGATGTGCCTTTTGGGGGTTTGAATTATTTTTCAATTTCATTTTTTTCTGTTTTCATGGCAACAAGCTGGATTCATCTTTTTGAAGGGTAAAGTTCCTCTCCGGAGCGAAATTCTGAAACTAATGGACCCATCTTCACCACATTTGCTATACTGCCCCTCGATATCATGTAAATGTGCCTTTTAGAGTTTTATTGTCAATTTTAATACTTAGAGATTTTGAAATTGAAGGAATCAAATGAATTGTTTGAGGTCTCAACTTTGTATTGGGGGAAGGGGGAGACATCTGTTTTTACGAGAAAAACACTTTCTAGTTTAAATTGTCATTGGTTTTGTTTAAACATGATTCAGTGAATTTCCACACTGATACAGTTTTTGTCAAGTTATCATCTGGTTTCTGTATTTGACATACTGGTCCTCATGCAGTCCTGTTGTGTTAGTGATAACACCTTCCTTTTTAAACTAAACGTTCTTAGTGGCAGTGATGTTTGTGCTCTCTCATCCATTCAAGACATTTCCCTTCTGATGACAGGCCTTCCTGCCAATATTGTCAAAGGAATCTGCATCTGACAAGCAGCTGAATGATGAACTGGCCCTGGCCTACATTTCAAACTCTGCTGTGTTCCCAGTTGGACTGGGCAGATACCGGGACCTAGCTCCAGTTCTCAGTGGTGGAACGTGAGTACAGCATTTCACCTATGTGAGGTGACACACATCACCAACATTGATCATATAGTGCATTGATTGAGCAAATGTGTATCCTCACACAGCTCTGTCAGCCTAAACCTTTCTCTCTCTTTTTTCTTTCTCTGTGTGTTGAAATATTTTCACATATACAGATAAGGTTGAAATATTGTACTAGATTTATAGAGGTGATATTGACTAATGTGGTCTACAAACATCAAATATACAGGTTGAAATATTGTGCTTTATTACCTATGAGGGTGAAAAAATCAGGGTTCATATTTTTCATATGATGCCCAAGGGCAAAATACAACATGATGTCACGTTTCTTCTATGACGTTGTGTTCCAATGTGGCGACGGCGGGTAGCCAGCCTATGTTTGAAAGTTGATTTAGGTTTATTTTTCTCAATTTTACGACTTTGGTAATAAATAGAACATTATATTCGTGCCCATGTCATACTATGTTTACGACACTCATGCCTAAATATCGGTGTATCCCTCGCTCTAGCTTGGGAAATACCAACATTTAGGCACTCGTGTCGTAAACATACTATGACATGAGCACTCATTATATATCCTCTATACAGATTTATAGAGAAGATATTGACTGCATATTACCCCATACCTGCCCCCATATCCTGTTTTATGAGACTTAAGTTTAGTCATTGATGTAGGAATCATATAGCAGGGAGTCTTGTGATAGAACTGTGATGATCCGTACAGTGATAACACAAGTCTGGAGTGGTGGTGACATCACTGTTACACTTGTATTGTATCTAATATATAATTATGACTAGTTTTCTTTCTTTTTTTCAATCTATGTTCATTTTAGGCGTTTAATGTTGGCAAAAATCAACTGGATATTTGTCTTCAAGGACAAACTATATAGAGAAAATGTACCCAAGTTGATAGAGTGCATCAATAACATTCTCCTGCGTCATGAAAGAGAGGGTGCTACCACTGATGACTTACTGACTACACATGGAATGAAGGTAAACCTCAACTTTACCCATGGCTTGGAGTTTGCTACAGAGGATCTTGGGGAGGAGGAGGCGGAAGCGACAGATGGACCTCCCAATCAACCAGCTTCTCTGACCGGATCTGGCCTCAGCTATGACTTTTGGGACAGGCATTTTGAAGGAAAATCAGAGGTTACTTGGAAAGACTTCAAAGATGCATTTCTTCTTGACTATGGTGACAAGATTGTTGAGCAGTATTCTGAAGACAAGAAGAAACTGTTTGTCAATCTGATGTATAAGGATATCTTTGACCTGAAGAAAACAGTGACAAGGTCCGTGTATAACCAAGCATGCAGCAACAACATGAATGCTGACCCACACTGTTTCTACAACAGGATTGAGGAGTACGCCATTGCCTATCTCTCTCTCAGGGAAGTGATCGACATGGACAGCACTCTCCGCATCACCACCATACAGAGTTTGGGTGAGCACGCGGCCTAGCTTACTAACAATAAGGGCTTCCATTCCTTTATGAAAGTTGTTATATTATATATCAATACTGTGTTGTTGTGTCAGTGGGTAATATTAATCTGAACCAATCATGTGTTGTTGTGTCAGTGTGTGTTATTGATGTGAACCAATCATGTGTTGTGTCTGTGTGTGCTTTTGATGTGAACCAATCATGTGTTGTGTCAGTGTGCTATTGATGTAAACCAATCATGTGTTGTTGTGTCAGTGTGTGCTATTGATGTGAACCAATCATGTGTTGTGTCAGTGTGCTATTGATGTGAACCAATCATGTGTTGTTGTGTCAGTGTGTGCTATTGATGTGAACCAATCATGTGTTGTGTCAGTGTGCTATTGATGAGAACGAATCATGTGTTGTTGTGTCAGTGGGTAATATTAATCTGAACCAATCATTTGTTGTGTCAGAGTGTGGTGTTGATGTGAACCAATCATGTGTTGTTCTGTCAGAGTGTGGTGTTGATGTGAACCAATCATGTGTTGTTGTGTCAGAGTGTGGTGTTGATGTGAACCAATCATGTGTTGTTGTGTCAGTATGTAATATTAATCTGTTTATGTCAGTGTGTGGTATTAATCTGAACCAGTCATGTGTTGTGTCAGATTGTGGTGTTGATGTGAACCAATCATGTGTTGTTGTGTCAGTTTCTGATATTAATGTGAACCAATCAATGTGTTGTTGTGTCAGTGTGTGTTCTTGATGTCAGCCAATCATATGTTGTGTCAGTGTGATTTTTGTGTGAACCAATCATGTGTTATTGTGTCAGTGTATTATTAATCTGAACAAATCATGTGTTGTCATGTCAGTGTTATTAATCTGAATCGTGTTGTTGTGTCAGTGTGTGGTTTTAATGTGAACCAGTCATGTGTTGTGTCAGTGTGTGCTATTGATGTGAACCAATCATGTGTGTTGTCAGTGTGTGCTATTGATGTGAACCAATTATGTGTTGTGTCTGTGTGTGTTGTTAATGTGAACCAATTATGTGTTGTGTCTGTGTGTGTTATTGATGTGAAGCAATCATGTGTTGTGTCAGTGTGTGCTATTGATGTGAACCAATCATGTGTTGTTGTGTCTGTGTGTGCTATTGATGTGAACCAATTATGTGTTGTGTCAGTGTGTGCTATTGATGTGAACCAGTCATGTGTTGTGCCAGTGTGTGTTATTGATGTGAACCAATCATGTGTTGTGTCAGTGTGTGTTATTGATGTGAACCAGTCATGTGTTGTTGTGTCTGTGTGTGCTATTGATGTGAACCAATCATGTGTTGTGTCAGTGTGTGTTATTAATGTGAACCAATCATGTGTTGTTGTGTCAGTGTTTAGTATTGATGTGAACCAGTCATGTGTTGTGTCAGTGTGTGTTATTGATGTGAACCAATCATGTGTTGTGTCAGTGTGTGTTATCGATGTGAACCAGGCATGTGTTGTTGTGTCAGTGTTTAGTATTGATGTGAACCAGTCATGTGTTGTGCCAGTGTGTGTTATTAATGTGAACCAATCATGTGTTGTTGTGTCAGTGTTTAGTATTGATGTGAACCAGTCATGTGTTGTGCCAGTGTGTGTTATTAATGTGAACCAATCATGTGTTGTTGTGTCAGTGTTTAGTATTGATGAACCAATGAACCAGTCAGTGTGTGTTGTGCCAGTGTGTGTTGTTAATGTGAACCAATCATGTGTTGTCAGTGTGTGCTATTGATGTGAACCAGTCATGTGTTGTTGTGTCAGTGTTTAGTATTAATGTGAACTAATCATGTGTTGTGTCTGTGTGTGCTATTGATGTGAACCAGTCATGTGTTGTGTCAGTGTGTGTTGTTAATGTGAACCAATCATGTGTTGTGTCAGTGTGTGTTATTGATGTGAACCAATCATGTGTTGTTGTGTCAGTGTGTGTTATTGATGTGAACCAATCATGTGTTGTGTCTGTGTGTGCTATTGATGTGAACCAATTATGTGTTGTGTCTGTGTGTGTTATTGATGTGAACCAATCATGTGTCGTGTGAGTGTGTGTTATTGATGTGAACCAATCATGTGTCGTGTCAGTGTGTGTTATTGATGTGAACCAATCATGTGTTGTGTCTGTGTGTGTTGTTAATGTGAACCAATCATGTGTTGTGTCAGTGTGTGTTATTGATGTGAACCAATCATGTGTTGTTGTGTCAGTGTGTGTTATTGATGTGAACCAATCATGTGTTGTGTCTGTGTGTGCTATTGATGTGAACCAATCATGTGTTGTGTCTGTGTGTGTTATTGATGTGAACCAATCATGTGTTGTGTCAGTGTGTGTGTTATTGATGTGAACCAATCATGTGTCGTGTCAGTGTGTGCTATTGATGTGAACCAATCATGTGTTGTGTCTGTGTGTGTTGTTAATGTGAACCAATCATGTGTTGTCAGTGTGTGCTATTGATGTGAACCAGTCATGTGTTGTGCCAGTGTGTGTTATTGATGTGAACCAATCATGTGTTGTGTCAGTGTGTGTTATTGATGTGAACCAGTCATGTGTTGTTGTGTCTGTGTGTGCTATTGATGTTGATGAAGCAATCATGTGTTGTGTCAGTGTGTGTTATTAATGTGAACCAATCATGTGTTGTTGTGCCAGTGTTTAGTATTGATGTGAACCAGTCATGTGTTGTGTCAGTGTGTGTTATTGATGTGAACCAATCATGTGTTGTGTCAGTGATGTGTCATTGTTGTTATCGATGTGAACCAGGCATGTGTTGTTGTGTCAGTGTGTTAGTATTGATGTGAACCAGTCATGTGTTGTGCCAGTGTGTGTTATTAATGTGAACCAATCATGTGTTGTTGTGTCAGTGTTTAGTATTGATGTGAACCAGTCATGTGTTGTGCCAGTGTGTGTTATTAATGTGAACCAATCATGTGTTGTTGTGTCAGTGTTTAGTATTGATGTGAACCAGTCATGTGTTGTGCCAGTGTGTGTTGTTAATGTGAACCAATCATGTGTTGTAGGCAAGTTTTCCTTTCCTGCGATCGTGAATGGTTTGTCTGATCTTGTTCATGATGAAGATCCAAACATCCGTGCCGTGGCTGCCATAGCTCTGGCTAAAGCAGGTGAGTGGTTTCAGGAGGTCCCTGCCTATGACACTAATCTGGATGAGTTTCCAAAGTACATTGTCAATGAATTTGGAAAGTTAAATGTGGAACTTTTATTACTTGAATCAGTTTCATTATCAACCTTGAGATGATTTGTTCTGTTAAAGTGGTTGCAAGGAATGCCTTCTGTCTTAATTATGATTTCAACATTTCTACAAGTGATCAGTACTTCCATATGTAGATGTCAAGTCAGTAGATAACTCCATACCGTCACTTGCCAGCCCCATGGCTACTGTGTAACTCTCATGCTGGGATGAGTAGAGAACATGCTGCTGTAACAAGTCAACTTGTGTAAAGTGCGAGTGTATGCGCAGCTGATGGTGAAGAAAGAGGTGGTCTCTGTGGTTGGTCAGCTGACAAGATTGACATTAATCTAACAAATGTTTGAAATGCACACAGCAACGATCAGGCCCTGCTGTTTAGGCCAAATAAAAAAAATGTTATGGTTCCGATAACACCTCTTTAGGGTAGGTAGGTAGGAATTATTTTATTTTTCCTTATCCTGACTCATGCTTATTGCTTGTCTCCCTTTTCTTCCAAATGCTAGTGGAACACTTGAATCCCCTTTTGAAGCTCCCTTCAAAAGCGGACGTAAAATCACTCACCAGGAGTCATCTCCCTTCCCCAGGTTTTGGCGGGAAAACGGCGGCCACCTGTCACCATGCTCCTCACTCTCTCCTGATTCGCCCGAGTGGGCGGTTGTGAGAGCGCCTGGTCCCCTATACGGCATTATATCCTTTTATTATTTAGGCCTTTCTTCTAAGTTAGCTGTATAAGGCTTTAGTTAACATTTACCTACAATATCGTTGAAATTATTTCTCAATTTTCTCTGTTTTATCACGTTTTTACGTGATTGTTCAGATTGTTTACAATTGATGAAATCTTGTTCTTGTTGTAGGTACAGATTGTCTGCTGTTGATCCACATAACCTATGTCCTAATTGCAAGCCCGCATGTTCATCTGGCCTTCGTTGTCAGTTGTGTTTTCACCTGTCTGATATTGCATTTTATAAATATTCATTTTATCTGTCTAGACGTGCAAAGGACAGGTCCAGACGAGATTTACACGACATGTCTAAACCGGCTAAGCCTGCAGAGGACTGGCAGTTGGTGTCTGCGCAGATTCACCATCCCAGTGGTCTACCGGGGTCGTCAACAGAGGATGTTGCTGTCGTAGACAACTCTGGCTCGAGGAAGAGGTCATCTACATCTGATAATTCCTCATCGCAGTCCAAGAAGACTAGGGCATCATCTTCCCAGAGGAAGAAGTCAGCTGCAGCTAAGACTTCGTCAAAGTCTCCACATGGGGCAACGCAGAAAACGAGGTCCTTTTCAGCTGAGATCGTCCCTCTGGAGGAATTAGATGTCTACGATGAGCCACCCATCCTCATCCCTCAGATCACAACTAAGAAGAAGACGAAGGCATCTTCTACCGTGACCACGCAGGACAACCAATCAACGCAGACGTTCGGCTCCAGAGAGGTTCAACGCCCTTCGGAAGAAGCCTCATCCATCTCAGATGCGTCGTCACTGCAGCAGACAACGCAGACCTTCAACCCGGGTGCCTTTATGCAGCAATTTACCCAACAGATGTTGGATCTGATGGAACACGGTTCGCACGCGAGAGAGCTGTGACGAAGACGACGTCTGCTATGAACCCGAGTGAAGGACAACTGAGCTGCACACCACGTCCGTTGGGAACCAACAACCTGCGAAGCTTACATGAAGATGCCAGCTTGACTACAACGTCCGCACGAAGATCTGGCAGTCCTACCAATGTAGAGCCTACACCAGTTACGTTCGGCGAACACTCAAGGTCAAGACGTTCGCCGAACCCACGCAGATTGTCATCTACCTCAGATGCGGACATTCGTCACAAACCTGCACACAAGGGTTCGTTACCAAGGAGAAGAGAATCTACACCCGTGCGAAGGCACAGAGATTCGTCACAAGACTCCAACCCTCGACAGAGCCGTTCACCTACACGCAGGTTCGCGTGAACGTATGGTTCGCCACGAAGCTCACCACGCAGGTCTCCATACAGATCACCATGCAGATCACCACATAGATCTTCATACAGATCGCCTTACACTAGAAGAGCACTCTCGTACTTGATGTTGAATGATGATATAGACACACTCACGATTCCACCTATCGACCCTGTCTCACAGTTAGACACAGTAACCAGACGAACCTTCTTCGGCCTAGCCAGGTCAAGAGCTATCAACGAGACCCTCATCTCGATCATGCAGATCTTCAGGCAGATCTTCAGACTGATCTCCAGAAAGGATTCAGGATCTTCAAAAAGATATATCTACATCAGAAGAGGGTAGCGGGATTAACTGCACAAAAACACTCCTCGACGCTGAGAACCTACACATTCACGAAGGTTAAAGATGCTTCTTAAGAGTCCAGGAGGGACTCATGTCCATATACAGATCATTCACCTGCGTGCAGATCTTCAGGCACTCTCGTCGTCGCGGATCAGAGTTAACGACTTGATAGGTAATACCGGAGAATTTCAGCGCAACCTTGTTAAGGCTATGAAGTTCCACAGTCAACATATCCCCGACGTCCAAGCCAGGGAATTCCCACTACTTCACATGGAACCCTTCATGAAAGGCTTCAGAGATTGATGTGAACTACAAGATCATCAACGACTACCGGGGTAGAACTGACACTGAAGTTACAAGTATCAACTCTACAAAAACCTTTGTGTATTCAACACAAAGGTTTTTTTTACGACACTTCATTGAGACCGATGAATACAGTCTACAAGTAACAGCGTTAAGCAAGTATGGAATTTCAACTGATCATCTGTATAAGATGACGACTGCATTATCTTCAGGAATGAAGGAACAGTCACAGCAGCCAGGGAGACAATCTACCTACATCTGTATTACGCGGCGGAATCTTTCGCGTGTTTACCATTCAGCCCTCTATGCATGTGGTCACTCGTGTAACTTCGGGTGGTTACGGACAAGGCCGAGTGTTGATGAAGAAATCAACGACTGCACAAGATTTTACAAGGATCTTTTTCCTACAACACCGATGACGTCACATCGCGGGAATCGGAAAGGATTCAAAATGCTGCATTTTGATTGGTCCATGAGAGACAACACCCTGCGCAGAAGTCGGACATCGCTCACGTGTCAGGAAGTTGTCTACAGATTGTAAACAACATTTCAACGTGATAGGAGGACTTCATTTACAGTCCAGTTAGCAGGGTACAGCGTGATTTGACTGTCTTACGGGATTTAGAGACCTTCCCTGTCAGCAGATTGTTTATCCGGCGAATTGCAACAACATACGTTTGACGAATTTTGCTTGCGGCAGCCAGTCTACTATATATAGACTCCACAACGATGGCAGTCCCAGATCTGGACGTTGCTTCACTTCCTTTACGGACAGGTCAAGGGTTCCACTGTCTACTTACTTACAGCATAGAACATGAGCAGATTCTGGGAAGATGATTCATCTCACCACAGAATGACAAGGTCGTCTCAGAGGATCGTTGGGTCTAGATACAAGTCATGGTATCTCAAGCACTACTCTCTCCATTACCACTACGAAGTTGACAGAGCCTACTCAGTCTTCTCACGTCAGCACAAGACATGACTCACAGAGGAAGACTAAAATTGCGCCCACTACAGGTGTTCGTAAATGCCCGTTTCAATAGTCTGGACTCCTTCGGACCACCGGACGGATTGAAACCATATTTTCTATGGTGGACTCGGAAGTCGAATATTTGCAGAGGAATCTACTTATCAGAGTGGAGTGCAACACTCATCTCTACGTAGATGCATCACTTCAAGGCTGGGAAGCTCACCTCGATAACGAAGTGGCAGCAGGGAAATGGTCAGGAGCAATCTGAGGAGCAATTGCTGAGTCAGGAGCAATCTGCATATCAACATGCTTGAGATGAAAGCAGTAGTAAAGGCCTTACTACACTGGTCCAACATACTAAGGAATGCACAACTGATGATCCACAAGGACACAGTGGCGTTCTACATCAACCAACAAGGATCAACAAGGTCAAGATATCTACTAGACCTCAGCTTTCATCTGTTCAGCATAATAGATGACTTGAACATCTACATAAGAGCATGCCACATTCTTGGAGCCATGATTGTGATAGCAGACGCCCTGTCTCGTCTAACACAACCATCCCCGACGGTATGGATGTTACATCCAGAAGCCTTTAGCTACATCATACAGACAATAGATTTCTGCTAATAGACCTGTTTGCAACAAAATTCAACAAACAGCTACCAACATTCGTCTCTCCGATTCTCGATCCACAAGCATGGGCAACAGATGCTCCAAGCATCTCTGGGGTAGGACTAAACGCGTAGGCGTTTCCTCCTCCAGCTCTAATATAACAGGTGTTGCAGAAAATCAAGCAGACGAGGAAGCTGCAACTGATTTGATCGCGCCTTACTGGCCAGCGACAATGTGGGTTCCTATTCTCACACAAGAATTTGGAAGTCCAAAACTGCAACTCTCAGAGTGGCCGAACCTGCTGATACATCCGCACACCAAGCAAGCACACGGGAACCTCACAGTGTGCCAGCTACACACATGGAGTGTATCAAGACTTGCTTGACGAAAGGAGAATGCTCCACCAGAGCAGCGAAAGCAGTTACACTACCTTTACGCAAATCTACCCGCACCTTGTATAACAACAAGTGGCAGAGTTTGAGAAATACGCCTTGAGAAAAGGCTTCACAGCGATGAAAGCAACTCATCCTCAAGTGGTGGAATATCTTTGTCATCTCAGACAAATAATACAATTAAAAGGTTCAACGCTATCTACATACCTAGCGGTCCTCAGCTCAGTAATCACCAGGTAATCAGGTGTTAAGCTGACTAAAGTACCAGAAATACTGGCCTTACTACATTCCTTCAAATTGGAAGATCAACAATGGAAGTTTAAAGAGCCGGCTTGGGATCTTAACGTAGTTCTACAGCTTCTCACCAGTGATGCTTATGAACCACTAGACAGGACATCCTATGAGTTTCTTACACAGGAAACTCTCTTCCTGATCGCTTTGGCAACAGCAGCACGGATGTCTGATATACATGCTCTAGACTTTGAACGTATACGTTTGATGCACATCACAACATCGTTCATCTGGGATTGAAATGGGACTTCATAGCTAAGAATCAACTGCCAGGTCAACCCGACAGACAGTCCCACGTCCCAGCATTATCATCAATCCCTGGGCCACAGGATATCCACGACCTATCCTTATGCCCAGTCAGAGCACTGAAAATCTTTTACAAAGATCTAAAAACAGGAGACAAAAATTCAAACGCCTTTTCATCCCTATATCGGCGGAGACACCCACAGAGATCTCACGCACTACGATATCATTCTGGATGAGAGCAATCATCCTTAGAGCCTACAAGGCAGCAGGACTTGAGCCTCCACGAGCTTCCAATCCTCTTGAAGTTAGAGCATTAGCATCTACGCTTGCCTTACATGGAAACTGCTCAATATCTACGATAATGGAAGGCTGCTTTTGGAAGTCGGAGACGGTGTTTGCCAACCACTACTTCAGAGACATTGTTTCCGAAGACCTCTCCGGAATTCACCAATTGGACCTCTTGTGGTAACACAACTGACGTTTCCACAAAGGCGCTGAGAAGGATCTCACCCCTTTATCACGTGACTTGCAAAGCCAACGTTCTGGAGAGCTTTAGAGTCCATGCGCACGTCTAAGACAGACCAGCATGAGTGATCAACCCTGTACTTGTAAAAGAATTACTCATACATGAAGAAGGATTGCTTCTCCACTTGATGCAAGCATCAAGAGATGGAGTTGCATAAATCCACACATAATGTCAGCAGTAGAAACGTTCCAGCAGATCTGACAAGTTGTGGTCCCCCCAAACTCATCAGAAAAAGATGGAAGTAAGGATCAGCAGCAGCAGCAGTGCCATCAGAAGTTCCCATGGGGGGTAAATAGGACGTAAATTCATCACTAAGGAATCCAGAAGTGGCTTGACCCACCACCAATTCCGTCGGATTCTACATGTAATAAGCATGAGTCAGGATAAGGAAAAATATGTAATTTTCTGAATAAAATTGATATTTTATACTTATCCTGACTCATGAGGTGAGCCCTCCCAACCTCCCCTCAAGGCACTCTGGATTTCCCAGTAAATCAGTGTGTCGGGCTGTAAAATACGGAGAGAGTGAAGAGCATGGTGACAGGTGGCGCCGTTTTCCCGCCAAAACCTGGGGAAGGGAGATGACTCCTGGTGAGTGATTTTACATCCGCTTTTTTGAAGGGAGCTTCAAAAGGGGATTCAAGTGTTCCACTAGCAATCGGAAGAAAAGGGAGACAAGCAATAAGCATGAGTCAGGATAAGTATAAAATATCAATTTTATTCAGAAAATTACAGTTTTATGTACTTTTATTAGAAGGAAAGTACAAACTAATAATAATTGTTTTATCAATCAAGCTTGCAGCCATCATGTCCACTTTCTCTATCAGAATGACCGATATCTGTCAGTGCAGGAAAAAAACAATGGTATCTGAAAGCTAATGTTATTCGATCCGCTTAAAAAAATTAGGGTTGGCACCAGAATTCAAGGGTCGGTCGGGTAATTGGAACCACAACATTTTTTTTTTAGGCCTTACATCAGTGCCATGAATGTCCAATGTTGAATGTCATGACTTATGTCCATTCTTTAATCCATGAATCAGTGAGAGAACAATGAAGAAAGGTCAGTGGTTTCCAATAGGTATCCCTCCTGCTCTACGTACATAGGTGCAAGTAGTCCTTGAATCATGTTGGCTGCCTTGTGCTATGTTGGTAGCCTGCCTTCTAGGAACTGCAGTCTGGAAGCACTGTGAACATCCACGTAATGCTGGAAGTTGGTATGACTAGTAAGCTTCTTACAGTAGAACTTTCTGTACTGGGAGGTGTATGAAGATGTCAAGAGTTGGAACTGTAAACACTGAAGGGAGATCACTCTGTTATGAGATGTTGTGGGGGTATCTCCATTAGCCAACAGAAGAGATAGTGTGAGCACATCACTCAATTTGCCTACTCGACAACAGTTAGAGAATTTGAAGCGAAATGTCGCATTCACAAAATAAATGAAGCTGCTATACACACTTGACAATGTCAGTGCAATATTCTCAAACACTATGTTAACTTGAAATGGCTTTACTAGTCTCATTTACCCTTATATTGTGACCTTAATAACATAATTAGATCAAACTTTTTGATGACCTACAGCTCTTTGTCGTTTATTAGTGTTGTTGCTTGTAATGAATCATGAGCGTTGAATGACAATGATGAAGATATCTGCAACACTGGGGAAGGCATCTCCCTGTAGCTCCATGTGGAGGAAGGCAGCTCTCCCTGTAGCACCATGTGGAGGTGGGCAGCTCTCCCTGTAGCACCATGTGCAGGTGGACAGCTCTCCCTGTAGCACCATGTGGAGGTGGGCAGCTCTCCCTGTAGCACCATGTGGAGGTTGACAGGTCTCCCTGTAGCAACATGTTGAGGTGGGCAGCTCTCCCTGTAGCACCATGTGGAGGTGGACAGCTCTCCCTGTAGCTCCATGTGGAGGAAGGCAGCTCTCCCTGTAGCACCATGTGGAGGTGGGCAGCTCTCCCTGTAGCACCATGTGGAGGTGGACAGCTCTCCCTGTAGCAACATGTTGAGGTGGGCAGCTCTCCCTGTAGCACCATGTGGAGGTGGGCAGCTCTCCCTGTAGCACCATGTGGAGGTGGGTAGCTCTCCCTGTAGTACCATGTGGATGTGGGAAGCTCTCCCTGTAGCACCATGTGGAGGTGGGCAGCTCTCCCTGTAGCACCATGTGGAGGTGGGCAGCTCTCCCTGTAGCAACATGTGGAGGTGGGCAGCTCTCCCTGTAGCAACATGTGGAGGTGGGTAGCTCTCCCTGTAGCACCATGTGGAAGTGGGCAGCTTTCACTGTAGCACCATGAGGAGGTGGGCAGCTCTCCCTGTAGCAACATGTGGAGGTGGGTAGCTCTCCCTGTAGCAACATGTGGAGGTGGACAGCTCTCCCTGTAGCACCATGTGGAGGTGGGCAGCTCTCCCTGTAGCACCATGTGGAGGTGGGTAGCTCTCCCTGTAGCAACATGTGGAGGTGGACAGCTCTCCCTGTAGCACCATGTGGAGGTGGGCAGCTCAAACAGGCACAATCTGGTGGACTGTTGTTGAAGTCATGTCACTGAAGCAGCATCAGAAATGATCAAGAGAATCCATTATACGATGATAACTGGCAGGCCAATGTTTTGCTGGGAGAGAGTACATTTCATTATCACAAACGCTGTTGCATTGGAGAAAGTATCAGCTTGTTCTGACAAAACGTTTGATGTCTGTCATGATAATTCAAGCTAATCTGGAAAGGCACTTGCAATGATTTGTGACTGTGGGTAAAACCTGGGCTCCCAGCAGCAATCAAAACATTTGTTCTGTTTACTGTGTTCCATGTTGGAGGACAGTACACCATGACATCCTTAGCATACCTTAATACGGAGGTCATAATGCTACCAGCTGATCAACAGTTTTTGTCTTCTCTATTATTGGTGATGCCAAATGTTTCATATTAAGCTACACCAAGACAATTATGACAAGACATTATTACCTGAGAGATGTGGAAAGATGAGGACAAGTATGTTTGTCCATCATGATATGCAGGGACACACTCAGTCATTGCCAGTTTGTCTTTGAACCCCATCAGCAGTTGCCTCCTTCTCCTGATGTGACTCTGTCAGACCAAACATGATAAAAGCTCAAGCCGGAACCCATTGTGGCTTGCATGATGATGCCCTAGCAGTTGAGGGGAACCTTTTTGCACAGTCTAGAGAAGGACTTCTAGGAAACTGGTAACAAATATTGTTGGCGAAAGAATCTTTGTGTGGAAGACAATTATAATGAAAAATATATGATATTTTAGTCTTGTGAGGGTCAGAACTTACCAGTCACCCTTTGTAGGAATATGTCTGTGCCCATTATATAGTGCTCTAGTCTGATGTCAGACTTACAATGTCTGTATTGATGTCTCAGGCAAACAGAAGCGAGAGACAGTTGACAAGCTGATAAATATCATTGAGGACGAGGATCGACTGGTGAGGGAAAGTGCATGCCTGTCTCTTGGATACCTGAAGTCCCAGAGAGCTGTCTCCTACATTGTGGACAGATGGTAGGTATACCCACAGAGAACGGTCTCCTACATTGTGGACAGATGGTAGGTCTACCCACAGAGCGCTGTCTCCTACATTGTGGACAGATGGTAGGTATACCTACAGAGAACGGTCTCCTACATTGTGAACAGATGTTATGTATCCTACATTGTGAACAGATGGTAGGTATATCTACAGAGAACGGTCTCCTACATTGTGGACATATAGTAGGTCTACCCTCAGAGAACTGTCTCCTACATTGTGGACAGATGGTATGTATACCCACAGAGAGCTGTCTCCTACATTGTGGACAGATGGTAAGTATATCTACAGAGAACTATCTCCTACATTGTGGACAGATGGTATGTATACCCACAGAGAGCTGTCTCCTACATTGTGGACAGATGGTAGGTATACCTACAGAGAACGGTCTCCTACATTGTGAACAGATGGTATGTATACCCACAGAGAACTGTCTTCTACATTGTGGACAGATGGTACATCTACCAACAGAGAGCTGTCTCCTACCATGTGGACAGATGGTAGGTCTACCCACACAGCGCTGTCTCCTACATTGTGGACAGATAGTAGGTATACCTACAGAGAACGGTCTCCTACATTGTGAACAGATGGTATGTATACCCACAAGGAGCTGTCTCCTACATTGTGAACAGATGGTAGGTATACCTACAGAGAATGGTCTCCTACATTGTGGACATATAGTAGGTCTACCCACAGAGAACTGTCTCCTACATTGTGGACAGACGGTAGGTCTACCCACGGAGAACTGTCGTCTACATTGTGGACAGATGGTACATCTACCAACAGAGAGCTGTCTCCTACATTGTGGACAGATGGTATGTATACCCACAGAGAACGGTCTCCTACATTGTGGACAGATGGTAGGTCTACCCACAGAGAACGGTCTCCAACATTGTGGACAGATGGTAGTTCTACCTACAGAGAAATGTCTTCTACATTGTGAACAGATGGTAGGTATACCCATAGAGAACGGTCTCCTACATTGTGAAAAGATGGTAGGTATACCCATAGAGAACTGTCTTCTACATTGTGAACAGATGGTAGGTATACCCATAGAGAACTGTCTTCAAGTTATACAGTTATGTTTCTCCTTGTGATGAGATCAAGTTAAACAGTTATGTTTCTCCTTGTGATGAGATCAAGTTATACAGTTATGTTTCTCCTTGTGATGAGATCAAGTTATACAGTTATGTTTCTCCTTGTGATGAGATCAAGTTATACAGTTATGTTTCTCCTTGTGATGAGATCAAGTTATACAGTTATGTTTCTCCTTGTGATGAGATCAAGTTAAACAGTTATGTTTCTCCTTATGATGAGATCAAGTTATACAGTTATGTTTCTCCTTGTGATGAGATCAAGTTATACAGTTATGTTTCTCCTTGTGATGAGATCAAGTTATACAGTTATGTTTCTCCTTATGATGAGATCAAGTTATACAGTTATGTTTCTCCTTGTGATGAGATCAAGTTAAACAGTTATGTTTCTCCTGGTGATGAGATCAAGTTATACAGTTATGTTTCTCCTTATGATGAGATCAAGTTATACAGTTATGTTTCTCCTTGTGATGAGATCAAGTTATTCAGTTATGTTTCTCCTTGTGATGAGATCAAGTTATACAGTTATGTTTCTCCTTGTTATTAGATCAAGTTATACAGTTATGTTTCTCCTTGTGATGAGATCAAGTTGTACAGTTATGTTTCTCCTTGTGATGAGATCAAGTTGTACAGTTATGTTTCTCCTTGTGATGAGATCAAGTTGTACAGTTATGTTTCTCCTTGTGATGAGATCAAGTTATTCAGTTATGTTTCTCCTTGTGATGAGATCAAGTTATACAGTTATGTTTCTCCTTGTGATGAGATCAAGTTATACAGTTATGATTCTCCTTATGATGAGATCAAGTTGTACAGTTATGTTTCTCCTTGTGATGAGATCAAGTTGTACAGTTATATTTCTCCTATGTTTATATCAGTGTGTGTTGTTAGTCTTCAGTATTTCTGCTAAAAGTTGCTGACAGCATCATGAAATGTCTGAACATTAGACATGAGACAGCCAATATATTGCATTTGTTCATGTCAGGCTGAACGACCCAATCTCCACCGTGAGGCAGGCTGCTGAACTGGCACTCAGCAAGATGAATGTGGAGGAAGCCCAGAAGTGTATTCAAGTCACAAAAGTATTGTCTGCAGAAATGTCAGCTCTCAAGCCTCAGCCAAAGAAGACTTGAGTGTACTACTGAAAACTGTCCATGGATGAGGCTGTGAAAATACTCACTCCCATAAGTTGTCCACACTGCATGTTGGATTCACAAGAACCATTTACACACTTGAACATTTTGTATCCGCTAACTTTTGCATAATTCCTAAATTTCAAAGCCTGACACAGGATCTCTTACCTTCTGGGTGATGTGGTCTGAGCATGTTCACTGAAATGTATTTCTACTAGATCAGTATCAATACTACCTCCAACAGATGTATCTATGGGGAAAAAAGTAGGTCCGCGCCATGTGCAGTTGTGTGTCCCAACCCCCTTCAGAAGAGCACTAAGTCAGACACAGATCATGAAGTCAGATTATTGTATTGTTGTCATTAGAACATGTTATAACATCCATGTTATATATTTTAGTGTTGCCAAGAAAACATCCCATATATATATATATCCCATATATGTATATCCCATATTAAGTGTACATGTATAAGTATTATTGTGTTGACGTGGAAACATTCCATGATATGTTTTGTGCTGTTGCCAAGGTAACATCCTGTTCTATGTACTGTACTGTTGCCATGTCACATTAAACATCACAGGGTATGTATTGTGCTGTTGCCATGGAAACATCCAACGATATCTTTTGTACTGTTCCCAAGGAAACATCCCTTGATATGTATTGTAATGTTATTAAGAAAACATCCCATATATTTTGTACTGTTGCCATGTCACAGAAAACATTCCGTGTTATGTATTGTAATGTTGCCAAGGAAACATCCCTTGATATGTATTGTAGATTGTATTTTAAAAGGCATTTTGTTTTGTCTTTAGTGCAAATAAACCTCTGAGTCATCACTGTAGTGTTTATTATATGCTAGCAGGTGAAACGTGAATTTAGGTATGGCAATGTTCAGAAATAGGTTTGTCTACCACATTCAAGTCTGCATCAATGACTCTTGGAGCTACCCTTTCAGTTAAACTCCTGGGCCTAGATTTTCGAAGCTCTCTTAGTGCTAAGATAGTTGTAAGTGCCATTCATTAACATTAACTTACGACTATCTTAGCGCTAAGAGAGCTTCAAATATCTAGGCTCTGATTCCTCTCTTGAACTTCCTCGTCTCTTAACAATGGCAATGGAAGGAACATATCATCCCTAAGAGCTGACACCATGTCCACAAAGATTACTGATGGAGATAACCCTTTCAGATCTTAACGACAGATCTGAACAATCTTAACAATCTTTTCCATTTTTATCAACAGAGAATACCAGGTCACTTTGATGCCTGCAGAAACCTGTTGCTGCTGGTTTGCATAGTTCAAATGCAGCCATTACACAGGGCATTGTATTGTACTCATCATATTGTATTATTGTATTGTTTTGAAGTGGTATCATACTTATTGTACACAAACTGTTTACGGTCATCAGAATGTTTGTGTCACCCTTATGTATTTGTTTGCAGCCACTTCTGCTCTTGCATCCTTGATTATTCAAGGATATGACCATTTGGATAAATGATAATGATACAAACCCTTGACAAATTCACTGCCATAGCTTAACTTTGGAATAGATATTAGTAACCTAGCACCTGAATACCCTTCCTCAGGAGTGTATTTGGATATTTTCTGTATATCGCATAGTGTCATTTGAATGAGGATCAAACCAAAGCTTGGATAGTGGACTTATCCAGAATATGTATCATAATAGAATGCAGATACAATATGTTGCGAGTATTTATCCATCTGTGGTTGGCAGCACTGCCACAAGAACCCACAACTGTCAAAGCTGTGTTCAATAAGAAAAAGATCTTATGTCAGCAGTATTGCCTTTTTATTGTCTAAATGTAAAACAAAAGCTTCAAGGTATAGTCATCGACAAAAAAGACATCCATGCAGTCTACTGCTTCTCAGAACAGGATGAAAGTTGAAAGAGTGATAAGTAAGTTCTCAGAAACCAATATCTCATCCATAAAAAACTATAATTGACACAAGTCTTCAAATTTTATCTAAAGATATCTTGCAACAACAAATAGCATCTTTCAGCAAGAGGACATAATTTAACACTTGGTCGACACATCAGGTTATGACAAGGAATCCCATACCAGGGTTCCACATTCATCCCTCATGAGTTGGTGTACAGTTGTGACAACTGAAAGCTCACCAGTATCTAATAATCTCTTTTTTAACATAAATATTGGCCTTCTAGGGCATGAACATACTGCAGACAAACAGGGACAAAGTTATACTTTCTCATCCCCATTACCTGGCTCATGTTTCATCTCCTCAAGCTCTGGATCAGATAACTGAGACAACACACTGCCGTCAACATTATACATGGCTGATCCCAAGTCTGTCACTGACGATGCCTCTTTCTATAATGCTGAAACATCCCTGAGGACCTATTCAAAGACAGGATTTATGCCATCAAAGATGTACTCCCAGAATATCATCATCTCATTCCAGCATCAAGGCCAACCAACATCAAAGATCAGCCAACGAAGCCGTTGATAGAGAGGCTTCATTATGAAGAGCCAGTGACAATGGTCCTATGCCACCAGGGATGTTATATAGTGGGACACCATCAATGGTCCTGTGACACCAGGAGTGTTGTATAGTATGACACTATCAATGGTCCTGTGCCACCAGGGGTGTTATACAGTGGGACACCATGAATGGTCCTGACACCAGGGGTGTTGTATAGTATGACACTATCAATGGTCCTGTGCCACCAGGGGTGTTACATAGTGGGACACCATGAATGGTCCTGTGACACCAAGGGTGTTGTATAGTATGACACTATCAATGGTCCTGTGCCACCAGGGTGTTATATAGTGAGACACCATGAATGGTCCTGTGCCACCAGGGTGTTATATAGTGAGACACTATGAATGGTCCTGTGACACCAGGGGTGTTATATAGTGAGACACCATGACTGGTCCTGTGACACCATGGGTTTATATAGTGAGACACCATGAATGGTCCTGTGCCACCAGGAGTGTTGTATAGTGAGACGCCAAAACTGGTCCTGTGACACCATGGGTTTATATAGTGAGACACCATGAATAGTCCTGTGCCCCCAGTGTCTTATATAGAGACACACCATGATTGGTCCTGTGCCACCAGGGTGTTATATAGTAAGACACCATGACTGGTCCTGTGCCCCCAGTGGCGTTGTATAGTGAGACACCATGACTGGCCCTGTGCCACCAGCGTGTTATATAGTGAGACACCATGACTGGTCCTGTGACACCATGGGTTTATATAGTGAGACACCATGAATAGTCCTGTGCCCCCAGTGTCTTATATAGAGACACACCATGACTGGTCCTGTGCCACAAGGGTGTTATATAGTAAGACACCATGACTGGTCCTGTGCCCCCAGGGGCGTTGTATAGTGAGACACAATGACTGGTCCTGTTCCCCGAGAGGTGTTGTATAGTGAGACACCATGACTGGTCCTGTGCCCCCAGGGGCGTTGTATAGTGAGACACCATGACTGGTCTTGTGCCCCGAGGGGCGTTGTATAGTGAGACACCATGCCTAGTCCTGTGCCCCCAGGGTGTTATATATTGAGACACCATGACTGGTCCTGTGCCCTATATGTGTTATATAGTGAGACACCATGACTGGTCCTGTGCCACCAGGGGTGTTGTATAGTGAGACACCATGACTGGTCCTGTGCCCCCAGGGGCTTTGTATAGTGAGACACCATGACTGGTCCTGTGCCCCCAGGGGCGTTGTATAGTGAGACACCATGACTAGTCCTGTGCCCCAAGGGGTGTTGTATAGTGAGACACCCTGACTGGTCCTGTGCCCCCAGGGGCGTTGTATAGTGAGACACCATGACTGGTCTTGTGCCCCGACGGGGCGTTGTATAGTGAGACACCATGACTGGTCCTGTGCCCCCAAGGGCGTTGTATAGTGAGACACCATGACTAGTCCTGTGTCCCGAGGGGCGTTGTATAGTGAGACACCCTGACTGGTCCTGTGCCCCCAGGGGCGTTGTATAGTGAGACACCATGACTGGTCTTGTGCCCCGAGGGGCGTTGTATAGTGAGACACCATGCCTAGTCCTGTGCCCCCAGGGTGTTATATATTGAGACACCATGACTGGTCCTGTGCCCCATATGTGTTATATAGTGAGACACCATGACTGGTCCTGTGCCACCAGGGGTGTTATATAGTGAGACACCATGACTGGTCCTGTGCCCCCAGGGGCGTTGTATAGTGAGACACCATGACTGGTCCTGTGCCCCCAAGGGCGTTGTATAGTGAGACACCATGACTAGTCCTGTGCCCCGAGGGGCGTTGTATAGTGAGACACCATGACTGGTCCTGTGCCCCATATGTGTTATATAGTGAGACACCATGACTGGTCCTGTGCCACCAGGGGCGTTATATAGTGAGACACCATGACTGGTCCTGTGCCCCCAGGGGCGTTGTATAGTGAGACACCATCAATGGTCCTGTGCCACCAGGGGCGTTGTATAGTGAGACACCATGACTGGTCCTGTACCCCATATGTGTTATATAGTGAGACACCATGACTAGTCCTGTGCCCCGAGGGGCGTTGTATAGTGAGACACCATGACTGGTCCTGTGCTACCAGGGGCGTTATATATTGAGACACCATGACTGGTCCTGTGACACCAGGGGCATTATATAGTGAGACACCATGACTGGTCCTGTGCCCCGAGGGGCGTTGTATAGTGAGACACCATGACTGGTCCTGTGCTACCAGGGGCGTTATATATTGAGACACCATGACTGGTCCTGTGACACCAGGGGCATTATATAGTGAGACACCATGACTGGTCCTGTGCCCCGAGGGGCGTTGTATAGTGTGACAACACTCCAGTATTTCCATAACCATTATGATAAGAACCTAGGTGAGCTGCTCTTCCCATGCCCAAACCTATTTTTTCAAATTCAGAATACACGTAGACACAACAGATTAAGAAAGACATTTAGAACAGTTAGGCTCATAACCTTTGCTCGGCAGAAGCAATTGTTGCTATTCTGTGCTGAGCTGAAGCAATGATGTGAGCTCAAGTCCCTGTTTTGTAATCACCTAAAAAGGGAAGCCTGTGATTAGTTGCAGCCTGAAGTGATAGCGGCACAGCTTTCTTGACGTCATTTATTGACCAGTAAATCCTTTGGTCTTAGCTGACCTTCACAAGGAGCAGATCCCCTGGGGATAGGGCTGCAAATTAAACCGGGATAGTCATTCCTAATCTGAAATGATTGTTGAACTCGGGGTTTCTAAAATTGATTTTTAGGGAAGTGCACATGCCTTTAAAATTAGAATTACACCAACGCAACAGCTAATGTGTTTGCAGTTAGAACGTATATAACAGATCTCCGTGACTACAGCAGTGGGGGTATATAACAGACCTCTGTGACTACAGCAGTGGGGGTATATAACAGACCTCTGTGACTACAGCAGTGGGGGTATGTAACAGACCTCCGTGACTACAGCAGTGGGGGTATGTAACAGACCTCCGTGACTACAGCAGTGGAAAAATATAACAGACTTCCGTGACTACAGCAGTGGGTGTGTATAACAGACCTCCGTGACTACATCAGTTGGGTTATGTAACACACCTTCGTGACTACAGCAGTGGGGGTATATAACAGAACTCCGTGACTACAGCAGTTTGGGTATGCAACATTCCTCCTTGACTACAGCGGTGGGGGTATATAACAGGCCTCCGTGAGTACAACGGTTGGGGTATATAACAGACCTCCTTGACTACAGCAGTGGGGATATAACAGATCTCCGTGACTACAGCAGTGGTGGTATATAACAGAACTCCGTGACTACAGCAGTGGTGGTATATAACAGAACTCCGTGACTA